GGTCTACATGGGATCTGATATGTTAATTGCATTGGTTCAACACCGAAATAGGGTTTCAAATCAAGGAACTTTCAGGAACAGAACCCCCCGTCCACCTATAGTAAGACATTTGTGGTTGTAAGTTTCAGTGTGGCACCAGTTGTCTCATGGTGCCTTACCCATCGAGATACAGTAGGTTCGCTCACGCCAATTCGCCCTGCTATCTCGGCGTTACTTATACCGTCGCTGTGAAAGACAATGATAGCACCTCTTACATCTTGCAATGTCTCCTCGATAATTCCTCGCTCCATTCCATTAAGATCCCGTTGATCACTAGAATCCTTTTACAACATCCACTCAGTCATGTAATACATGATAATAAGAAGCCTCGGAGTATTCACATCGTTCGAAAACGTATATACTCATTAATGGTCAAAGGTCTATTCAATAGACCTTGGAAATACCAACCGTTCTGAAACAGGTCGAGTAACATTGCTCGGAAAGCCTCGAATCACATGGACCCCCTCATGGCTAACGATACTTTTTTGAAGGGCTGCACAGTCACCTCAAAAACTCAGCGTCTCCTTCAGAACGAGTCAGCATCGAAACTAAATGAAATAAAGCAGCACCGGCAGTGTTGGTATCCTGAACTACACACCCGTGAGTATTCTTGGTTATAATGTCCCTTACCTGAGGATGTGCTTACAACACCAGGAAGGTGAACAACTGGGGTTAATGTCTAGAATTATTCTATAGCTTGAATGTTATACATGGTACCCATTATATCTCTATGTTAACAAACGTCTACTTTTAGAGGTTGACTGCTAGATAATATTGGGGGGAAGAGGTAAAACAAGGTTATTTTTTACAAAGCAGAGTTTGAGTTGAGGCTGAACAAACAGAAAACGGTTCCGGTTGTTATCATTTTCTTCTATTACCAAAGTATTCCTGTTGTTTAAGTACTAAAGGAAACACATTCAGGTTGTGCGGTGGGACAGTGGACAGTTGTCTGTTTTTAGTTTGGGGACAGCGGTCGAGCCTGACGAGAGAGCGGGACCTTTTTATTTACATTATCATTTATACGGCGATTCCTTCTTTATCTTGTAATTGTGTATATAAAACATATTTATCAACTTCTGTCTTTGTAATCTATCAGCGGCAACTGGTGAGACACATCAAGTCCACGATAGATACTGATAGTGGATAATTAATAGAGGCATATACACACACTCACACAGCGTCACTACAACTGTAACTCTGCTATATTTCACTGTTTGGGTTGTTGTTCCGGTGGTGTTTAGATACTACCAGTGTTTGTTAGGTTAGGTTTAGGTTAGGTTACATTAGGTTAGGTTAGGTTAGGTTAGGTTAGGTTAGGTTAGGTTAGGTTAGGTTACATAAAATATTTTTGAGGAAATGTTGGAACCTAACCTATATTCAGCGTTGAAAAAAATTGTCATAATTGATTAATGATAAGACAATGTGTTAGTTTAGTTGGGTTTGATTGGATTAGGTTTGGATGGATTAGGTTAAGCTTGGGTGGATTAGATTACGTTTGGGTGGATTAGGTTAGGTTTTGGTGTGTTAGGTTAGGTTTTGGTGTGTTAGGTTAGGTTTGGTTGGTTCTAGGTTTGGTTAGGTGAGGTTTGAATGGACTAGGTTTGGATGGACTAGGTTAGGCCATAAACGTCATAAAATTCTCAACCACAATATACAAAAATAAATACAATTGAGAAATCATAAAAAAATACCAATACCTGTGTATATTAAGCCCCACTTGAAGCTGTCTTTATGGGCTAATACAGTACCGTATATAAGGCAGATAAAGACATGTCATTAAATTAATCTTGAATTTACTTTAATAAGACCAAAAGTTACAATATGACAGGAATAATTACTTAGGAGTTTTAAGCCCGGCTCCACTAAGATAGCATTATATTGATATTTCATAATATAGTAAACCACAAAACGAGAAATTGTTATCAATCAATCAGAGTATCGTCCTCATATCTGAGGGTTGGCGACCAGATCCTCCACTCTAAACGTTCTCGAGCTGTTTTGACCAATCATCGAAGGTTTTGTATCTCTCTGGGGACTCAGTTTTTAATTCCATTCATCCATCCCGGCCCTGCCTTCCCCTGGCCCTCAACTTTGTCCATTAATATTTTTTATTATCCCCTCATCACCTAATTACATGACCAAAGTAACCATTTTTCTTTGTCTGTACATTTCAAGTATTTATATTGATTTTTTTGGCTAATATTGAATTAATTTTATACAGTAATGTACAGCAAAATTTATTTTTATTTAAAATAATTTTGTGTTTGTTTTTCAAACTAAAATCAAACACCAGGTAATAATAACATTACCTGCCAATATCCATGATGATTTTATAAACCAAAGTGCAGGCTTATTAAATGTAGTATTGTACTGCTAATTTTCTCTTATTTCTTAATGCAAATCTTAGTTCATTTTGAACTATTTTCTTCATATACAGTACTGCACCAGTAAAATTGTAATTGGTAAATTATATTTATATATTACAGTTTACTTGCCATGATACATCAAACACATGACTGTAATTTAATAATTTCGGTGATCTAGATATTTGAAAACACTAATTTGTGGCTTGTAAAAATACACACAGGACTACAGTTCTTATTATTCTCTATGGAATCCTCACTAATCATTGCTAGTACTGTAGTACCTGAACTCCACTGCAACAATACTGAAGAAGTGAAATATACACTTATGGAAAATTTTCTTAGGGAAATTCTCTATAATACCCAGGCAACATGATCGTAAACTATTACTCAAATTAATATACATAATGTAGCTACTTCTGCATGTATTTTTTAACAGAGGCATTATAGCACCACTGCTGCTGGTACACAAGGTCTGATCTAGCTGATGCTGTGAGGCTGCCAACAATTGATCTTAGAGCGATAAAACCCTTTTGCTCATCTCTCTAAGGAGGAGATCATCAGGAAGTACAGGTTGTCCAAGGCCTACATCCACAACCTTCTTGAACGAGTTGAGTCACATATTGTCTGCATGATATAATAATTAATACTGAAGGCGGTCTGCAGACGAGAAGGCGTGTAATTAATAAGATGGTTTGGAATGGCAGATGCATGATGTCCAAGTCGAATTACTGAATGCGTTTTTTTTTTAAATATTGCAACGGTAAGGGCAAACGGTAGCATTATTGATTACCTCCATTAATTAGAAAAAGGAAACGCTATATATAATCACAGTACAATTTGAAATGATAGACTTCCACTAGCACAGATATCACGGTGTATACTGTATAAAACTGTATCAGTCTAAGAGTACAAAGTGTATTATTTTATTTCTAAGTATGAAAAAGCAGCAAAGCAAAAAGTATCTGGGTATATGTATATGAAATAATAACAATCATACTTAGTTTGAAATTGTCAATAATATCAATTATCATTCTTGAAAAGATCTAGAAACATTGATATTACATTACATTTAAAGTAGGAGTATACAATAAATGCACAGTATCACAGTACAGTATATATGAAATTATTCCACAAAATATATTGAAATATTAATCTAATTGACTTTACAAGAACTGAAAGGAAATTTAAAGCATAAAAAAGGTTAAAAAATAAATGTTATGATTTTTCTCCATTATAATTGTGACCTTTATCGTGTCTTTTAGTGTTCTCTTTTATGTTTCAGTGAAGGGAGTTGTCTTCTCCCTTGAAAGGAAAGTTTTACAACCACTACTCGCTCTTCAGCTTCAAATTTGGCGCCACAGATCAAGCTGGTTTGTTTACGTTTATCTTGCCCAGGCCTACCAACCCTCTTTCGAGGTTGCGGCATTACGGTTACTAAATAGTAACCCAAATGTACAAGATACTATTCGAGTTTGACGAATCCATTTGTCGAGTTACTAAAAGGTAACCCGATGTTCGGGATTGATATTTGGACTTGCTGCCCTGACTGTTAAAAAAACAAAAATAGCTGTTCATGTATTGTCCAAATTCCAGCATCCTACTTCATATTACAGTGAAACAAAATTCATATTGGGTTTTTTTGATCGAGTTCAACATTTTATGGGAGAGAAAAAAGTCAAAGGCATGTATGAGTTAAATAATGTAAAGTCATGGAAAAATAATTGAGGCCCAGTCAGGCAATACTGCATGAGGTTATGTCTCTCTTTCTGAGCACAATGCAATCTGAATGGTTGAAATTGATCCATAAATAACCGAGTAGTGGGATATTTACTGACACCAGTATGGAAATTATATTATGTCAGTAATTCATATTCAAAGTAAAAATATTATATACTGGTATATATATATATATATATATATATATATATATATATATATATATATATATATATATATATATATATATATATATATATATATATATATATATATATATATAAAAATTTCGTTTGGAGTAAAAGTTAATGTCTCTAAGTTTGAACCTCTTCCAAAATATACATACAGTACTAGACCTTACTGTGTATAAGCCTTTAACTGTAAAAGTTTACCTCAGCACTGAGGAACCTCAGAACTTGCTTTGTGGATTGTTATTATATACCGGCCCTATATGTCGGTAGAGGACAACGACGCAAATTTCTAGCCCAAAAGTTTTTCCATATGTTTTTCATTGTGTTTCAGTTGAATCTGACATTATTATCCTCGGAAATAAGCCGTTATAGAGATATGACCCCATCAGGGTTGAAAGACGATAAAGTGACCTAAACAAACCTAACTAAATACCAACTTAAGCGAACCTAACTCAAACTTCTTAACATAATCTTACCATTGTCTTGGCGATTTTGAATCGTTCTGTGAAAAACCAAACGCGTTTATCTCCACGATATTATTGCTCTATCACACTTTGGACACTATACGAATGTTTTGCAGTGCATCGTGGGCCTTCATTTACAAAATTACGTTGAATGGTTTGACAATTTGAGCACTAACAACATGCTGAGATGACATCTTGCGACTAAATTCCATTCTGGCTTGAACATGTGTGCAGGAGCATCATGTGACACCATGATTGGCGGAACATACTTCAGCCACATGAGTAAGATGTAAACAATCTCCTGTGAACCCAAACATTCTTAAAGTGAAATCGAAAAGCCAAATAACTCGAAAAATATATTTGAGATGGAGAATATTCTTTTGGGGGGGAGATAAAGCCTATCTCCCAAAATAAATATCAATATAACGTTCCGTGGTTCTCCTCCAGCTATTCTGAACCCTAATCTGCCCTCACAACTCTCACACACTTATAAAGTTGCAGAAAAATATTAAGTCATGATATATGATCCTTTACCACCTGAGGCACCACTACCACTACTAGGCTGAGGTGAAGCAACTATTAGGCCTAACCAAAGCTCTAATGTAGACAAGGTTTAATGTGGTCTCTGCCGATAAATCATGTTACAGAAGTTACTGCCCTGTTGCTTTCAAAGAGGTTAATATCGATCTATATCGTTAACGGTTGAAACCAAATTTTTAATGGTTTATACCTGTTGGTTTACTCGCAAAATTTAATACCGATAACTTTTGGTACACGGTTATTGCCCGCAGAGTTGTTTAGAGTGATTAATACCATCATATTTTCCATGGGTTTTGTCGTAAAATTTCATAAAACCAACAATATTATTTCTAGTTAAGAGTTAATGCAGATTTATTTGCTTACAGTGTTTTCAGCAATTAATGCAGTTTTTTTCCGCCAGATTAAGGCCTTTTTTTTCATATGATAAATTAATCTGTGGTAGCCAGAGAGACCAATCCACCTCACGACAACAAAACATACACATGAGAATATCACTAGCGGCCTGGGGACACCTGCAGGTTGTCCCCCCCTACTACAGTACAGTACTTACACCTGTCACTCCCCTGCTGCCTCCTGTGTCGTCACTCCTCCTTACCTGGAAAAAACAAACAAAAATACTTCATTAAATTGATGATGACGTAAATATATCATATTCATTAAACGATTCATTCATTGGAAAAGGGAATAATACACATGTACTTACTGTATGTGTAGGTGTATTAAAACTTGTGATGTATATTCACCTCATTACTTTGCAAAGAATGAATAAATATTATAATAAAATTCAAAATACATTCTTTACTAAACTATCAAACTTTAGTATATTTTGTCAATAATTTATATAACTTTGAAAATATCAAGAAATTACACTCTCATACATACATACATACATACATACATACATACACACTCTCTCCACCCTGGAAATGACATCCCTCAGTGACCTCCACCACCAAGCACTAGCAGGTTTGGCAGTGGACTACTGCACCATTCTCGTCATCGCCGCCTCCTGCCACCGGCAGTCCCCCACCCACCTTGCGCAGTCCGCCACTACAACAAAATTCAGCCCATAAGAGCCCGCACCGATAGATCTAAGAATAAATGTACTCAACGCATATCATTATGTCTAAATCAAATGTAAGTTTGTATATTTCAGCCACCGGCTGCTCTATTAATAAATCGCTTATTATTATTATTATATCACACACACACACACACACACACACACACACACACACACACACACACACACACACACACACACACACACACACACATACATACATACATACATACATACATACATACACACACACACACACACACAACACACACACACACACACACATACATACATATACATACATACATCACCTGACTATGAATCCCAAACTCCTCCAACACCCGCAGGCATCAAAGAGAACATCTATCACGGTCCAAAAGGCAGAATTTCACTTCATTATTATTCCACCTTTACATAGTGGCGCCCCTCAGCCACCACAGGTACCTTTATGTATCTTTCCTTCGCTTACTACCTGGAAATCCGGTGCATTACTCTCATGCCTCAGGGCTTAATCACACAGCCCCAGCAGGAGTACCTTTGTTCTCCTACCTGACTACAGGAGGGTTTATTCCCTCATCCCCAACAGAGTACTATACCCTCTACTCTCATCCCCAACAGGAGTACTATACCCCTCTACTCTCATCACAACAGGATTACTATACCCCACTACCCTCATCCCCAACAGAGTACTATACCCCTCTACTCTCATCCCCAACAGGATTACTATACCCCTCTCTCCTCTCCAACAGGAGTACTATACCCCTACCTCATCCCCAACAGGAGTACTACACCCCACTCACCCTCATCCCCAACAGGAGTACTCATACCCCACTACCCTCATCCCCAACAGGAGTACTCATACCCCTACTCATCCCCAACAGGAGTACTATACCCCTACCTCATCCCCAACAGGAGTACTATACCCCACTACCCTCATCCCCAACAGGGGTACTATACCCCACTACCTCATCCCCTACCAGGAGTACTATACTCCACTACCCTCATCCCCAACAGGAGTGCCTATACCCCCACTACCCTCATCCCCAACAGGAGTACTATATACCTCTCTACTCATCCCCAACAGGAGTACTATACCCCACTACCTCATCCCCAACAGGAGTACTATACCCCTCTACTCATCCCCAACAGGAGTACTATACCCCCCACCCTCATCCCCAACAGGAGTACTATACCCCACTACCTCATCCCCAACAGGAGTACTATACCCCACTACCCTCATCCCCAACAGGAGTACTATACCCCACTACCCTCATCCCCAACAGGAGTACCTATACCCCTCTACTCTCATCCCCAACAGGAGTACTATACCCCACTACCCTCATCCCCAACAGGAGTACTATACCCCACTACCCTCATCCCCAACAGGAGTACTATACCCCACTACCCTCATCCCATAATTCATACCCCTCACTCATCCCCAACAGGAGTACTATACCCCCTACCTCATCCCCAACAGGAGTACTATACCCCACTCACCTCATCCCCAACAGGGTACTATACCCCCTACTCATCCCCAACAGGAGAGTACTATACCCCACTACCCTCATCCCAACAGGAGTACTATACCCCACCACCCTCATCCCCAACAGGAGTACTCATACCCCTCTACCCTCATCCCCAACAGGAGTACTATACCCCACTACCCTCATCCCCAACAGGAGTACTATACCCCCACTACCCTCATCCCCAACAGGAGTACTATACCCCACTACCCTCATCCCCAACAGGAGTACTATACCCCTACTCTCATCCCCAACAGGAGTACTATACCCCACCACTCATCCCCAACAGAAGTACTATACCCCACTACCTCATCCCCAACAGGAGTACTGTACCCCCACTACCCTCATCCCCAACAGGAGTACTATACCCCACTACCCTCATCCCCAACAGGAGTACTTATACCCTCTACTCTCATCCCCAACAGGAGTACTATACCCCACTACCTCATCCCCAACAGGAGTACTATACCCTCTACTCATCCCCAACAGGAGTACTACACCTCTACTCCATCCCCAACAGGAGTACTATACCCCTCTACTCTCATCCCCAACAGGAGTACTATACCCCACCTTACCCTCATCCCCAACAGGAGTACTATACCTCTACTCTCATCCCCAACAGGAGTACTATACCCCACTAACCTCATCCCCAACAGGAGTACTATACCCACTCACCCTCATCCCAACAGGAGTACTATACCCTCTACTCTCATCCCAACAGGAGTACTATACCCCTACCTCATCCCCAACAGGAGTACTATACCCCACTACCCCCTCATCCCCAACAGGAGTACTATACCCCACTACCCTCATCCCCAACAGGAGTACTATACCCCACTACCCTCATCCCCAACAGGAGTACTATACCCCACTACCCTCATCCCCAACAGGAGTACTATACCCCACTACCCTCATCCCCAACAGGAGTACTATACCCCACTACCCCTCATCCCCAACAGGAGTACTATACCCCACTACCTCATCCCCAACAGGAGTACTATACCCCCACTACCCTCATCCCCAACAGGAGTACTATATACCCTCTACTCTCATCCCCAACAGGAGTACTATACCCCACTACCCTCATCCCCAACAGGAGTACTTTATACCCCACTACCCTCATCCCCAACAGGAGTACTATACCCCTCTACTCTCATCCCCAACAGGAGTACTATACCCTCTACTCATCCCCAACAGGAGTACTATACTCTACTCATCCCCAACAGGAGTACTATACACCACTACCCTCATCCCCAACAGAGTACTCATACCCTCTACTCTCATCCCCAACAGGAGTACTATACCCCCTACTCATCCCCAACAGGAGTACTATACCCCACTCCCCTCATCCCCAACAGGAGTACTATACCCCACTCACCCTCATCCCCAACAGGAGTACTATACCCCTACTCTCATCCCCAACAGGAGTACTCATACCACTACCCTCATCCCAACAGGAGTACTATACCCCACTACCCTCATCCCCAACAGGAGTACTATACCCTCTACTCATTCCCCAACAGGAGTACTATACCCCTCTCTCATCCCCAACAGGAGTACTTATCCCCTACCATCCCCAACAGGAGTACTAATACCCCACTACCCTCATCCCCAACAGGAGTACTATACCCCTACTCTCATCCCCAACAGGAGTACTATACCCCACTACCCTCATCCCCAACAGGAGTACTATACCCCTTACTCTCATCCCCAACAGGAGTACTATACCCTCTACTCTCATCCCCAACAGGAGTACTATACCCCTACTCTCATCCCCAACAGGAGTACTATACCCCACTACCCTCATCCCCAACAGGAGTACTATACCCCTACTCTCATCCCCAACAGGAGTACTATACCCCACTACCCTCATCCCCAACAGGAGTACTATACCCTCTACTCTCATCCCCAACAGGAGTACTATACCCCACTACCCTCATCCCCAACAGGAGTACTATACCCCCTACTCTCATCCCCAACAGGAGTACTATACCCCACTACCCTCATCCCCAACAGGAGTACTATACCCCTCTACTCATCCCCAACAGGAGTACTATACCCCACTACCCTCATCCCCAACAGGAGTACTATACCCCACTACACTCCCTCATCCCCAACAGGAGTACTATACCCCACTACCCTCATCCCCAACAGGAGCCTTCTCTACCCCACTACCCTCATCCCCAACAGGAGCATTCTACCCCCATACCCTCATCCCCAACAGGAGCGCTCTACCCCCCTTCAGCAGCTTTACATGTCGGTGTTTGAGACAGTTCGGGCGGTGATCCATCAAGGCCCCTGAGCCGTGTGACGTCCAGAACACCGCCTGTGGTAGGTCTTCTGACGGCTGGGACACACATACATCCTGGCTGACGGTAGGAGAGGGAGGAGTGGGAGGTAAGAGAGAGAAAACAGAGAGAGAGAGAGAGAGAGAGAGAGAGAGAGAGAGAGAGAGAGAGAGAGAGAGAGAGAGAAAATGGTGAGGCACATATCTAAATCCCCTTCCACCTACCATAAAGTAGGGAAACTTTCACCCACCCTTCTGGTCCTTAACCAAAAACATCTGTAATAACTTCTGCACTCCCTCTTTTCTTTCTCTCTTCCGACTTGATAACACTATAGCCAACTCTCCCCCTGACAAAGCCAATCTCTTTGGCACCTTATTTTCCACTAATTCCACCTTAGACGATTCCTACTCTATCCCTCCTACCCCTGCACCTCCTACTGAACCTATGCACTTTCCTATAATCTCCACTCGTAGGGTTGCCGGTGTGTTATCCAGGTTGGATGTGAGTAAGGCGCATGGACCGGACGGAATACCCCCTCGTGTTCTGAGGGAGTGTGCTGAAGCTCTGGCCCGTGTGCTTGCTCGCCTCTTTCGCCTCTGCCTCAAAACCCAAACTTTTCATTCTTCTTGGGAGCATGTCTTGGTTCAGCCCACCCCGAAGAAGGGTGACCATTCTAATCTCTCTAACTATCGCCCCATTGCCCTAACTTCATCCCTCTCTAAGATTTTCGAAACTATCTTGAACTCCCATTTTCTCCGTCACCTTGAACGCCTTTCTCTTTCGTCGGATCACCAGTATGGCTTTCGCCAGGCGAGATCTACTGGTGATCTGCTCTCCTATTGCACCCATCTTTGGTCATCCTCTCTTAGGGATTATGGGGAAACTTTCGTCGTGGCCCTCGACATCTCCAAAGCATTAGACAGGGTATGACACACGTCTTTGCTTTCTAAACTTCCCTTCTGGCTTCTCTCCCCCACTTTATTTTCTAATCTCTATTTTCCTTGAGAACCGACCCATGGCAGTTGTTATCGAGGGATAGATCTCTCGCTCTTTCTCTACCAATAGCGGTGTCCCACAGGATTCTGTTCTTTCACCTACTCTTTCCTTCTTTTTATCAATGATTTACTTCAAACTACAACTAATTCTATCCATTCTTACGCTGATGATTCTACTCTTCACTCTTCTCCACATTTTCCCCTTCCTCCTAACTCTCAAACTAGATCTGTTTCTAGAGCAGATATCATTACTTCTATCAATGCTGATCTGTGCAGCATCTTTGAATGGGGAGGTAGAAACTTGGTTAAATTCAATAGTAATCAATAGTAATAAAACTCATTATTTACCAATTACACTTCCTAAATTAGAAGATTTCCCACCAATTACATTTCAGGATGCTATCATTCTGCCAAATTTTGAAATAGATATGCTAGGCCTTACCATTTCCTCCAATATGTCATGGAAATCACACATCCTTAACATAACTAAAGCTGCCTCCCGAAAGTTGGGAATGCTGTACAGATGCCGTAGCGACTTCACTCCAGAGCAGTTGCTTCAAATATATAAGGGATTCATTCGCCCTAACTTGGAGTACTGCTCCCATATCTGGGGTGGCTCTTCTTCTGTCCAACTGTTAGATAGGGTGGAATCAAAGGCATTTCGTCTTATTAACTCTCCTGTTTTAGTTGACAATCTTTCTTCTCTTTCTCTTTGCCGCAATGTTGCTTCACACTCTCTCTTTTACAGGTACTTTAACGGGCAATGTTCGGTGGATTTGGCATCCTGTGTACCGCCGGCAAGGCCGTGGGCTCATAACACACGTCTTGCCCGCGGTGCCCACCGTTTCTCTGTGGATGTCGGTCACACTAGAATAACACGTTATAGTACCTCATTCTTTCCCCACACAGTCAAACTGTGGAATGCTCTGCCTTCTTCTGTTTCCATACTTATACAATCTCTCTCACTTTAAAAAGCTGATTTTCCGGCATCTTCGTGGTGTAGATTAGCACAATATAACCTTTTTCTTCTCTATTTTTAATTTCTGTTTGTTCCTATTTTTTCGACTCAGCCCGTGATAATTCCTAAAAAAAATATATATATATATATATATATATATATATATATATATATATATATATATATTAAATAAAATACCATAAAACAAGGACAACTTTCACCTACCCACTATAAACAAGGATTAACTTTTCACCCACTCCATATAAGGCAAGGATTAACTTTCACCCACTCTGCCATAAGGCAAGGGACAACTTTCTACCCACCTACCATAAAACAAGGACAACTTTCACCCAATTCCACCATAAAACAAGACAACTTTCACCCACCTACCATAAGTAAGGATAACTTTCACTCCACCTACCATAAACAAGGACAACCACTCTCATCTGCTATATAAGTAAGGACAACTTTCACCCACCTACCATAAACAAGGACAACTTTCAATTCCACTCCACCATAAGGCAAGGACAACTTTCAATCTAATTCCACCCATAAACAAGGATTACTTTTCAATTCACCTGCCATAGGCAAGGACAACTTTCACCCACCTACCATAAGGCAAGGACAACTTTCACCCACCTACCATAAAACAAGCGACAACTTTCACCCACCTACCATAAAACAAGGACAACTTCTTCACCCACCTATCAGTATAAGTAAGGACAACTTTCAATTCACCTACCATAAAAACAAGGATTAACTTTCACCCACCCACTATATAAGGACAACTTTCTCTCACCCAATTCCACTATAAAAACAAGGACAACTTTCACCCACTCAAGCGTTATAAGGTAAGGACAACTTTCACCTAATTCCAATTATAAGGACAACTTTCACCCACCTACCATAAGGCAAGGACAACTTTCACCCACCTACCATAAGGCAAGGACAACTTTCACCCACCTACCATAAAACAAAGACAATTCCATTTTCCTTAACTTTTGATAACTAATATCTAATGTTTTGGATTCATTTAGAGAACGTACTTAAAAAAACACATTAAAGTTGATATACAAAAATACCTTCAAGCAGCAATACGGCCAGAGGAACTTGTGATGAACTAGACTGTCTAACTGTACGTAAACTTTTCCCCCAAGTCAACACCAACTTGACAGAGGAAGCTGTCAAGTACTTCGAATTTCGGCGAAAGTCTTATCAGTAACTTCAATGTGACAATCTGATGAAGAATTTCGGGTTGAGGACATGAAAGCAGCTCTTCCTGTACGTAATTTCACACTACGTCCATAATATTCCTGAGAGAGAGAGAGAGAGAGAGAGAGAGAGAGAGAGAGAGAGAGAGAGTCCCTATTCTTCCCACGATCTTATGTTAAATTTATTCCTCAGAGCTGAAGAGAATAAGACAACGCCATCTTGGTTTTTGACACACTCCAGTAAAGTGGAAAATCACTTAACGTAAGAACTTTTCGAGAGCTCGAGCTCTCAGGATAAGTTCGTTCCCACAGACAAGTTCAGGTAAAGTATTTTGAGTTACGAGCCTCTAAGAACTCAAGACTTCGGGTCATAATGATATATTGGACGTCTTTACCGCGGGTGAGGGAGACTATTGAATGTGGGGGAAAGGAGGCATATAGCCCCTTCCTCGCCCCACCTCTACCTCCCCTCCTGCTGGGGAGAGAAGTCGATAGTCGAGGCCATAATCGTTGTAGGGCCATTTGGGGACTCTGGAGAAGAGAGCTTTAACAAAGTTTCCTCCAATTTCGATGGGAATGACTGGTGCTGGTTGAGTCGGGTTGACGGTGTGTGTGTGTGGCGGGGGGAGGGGGAGAGGGGGGTGCGTATATACAGAATTAGAGTATGTTTATGTGTATGAATGTAAGGGAGGGGGAGGGGGGTGGTGTGGTTATCAGATACCCCCACCCCTCTACGTCGCCTACTCACCCAGACGACAATTTCTTCTCCCACACTAGAATTGTGTTAACTCTTCTTCAGGCAGGTAGTGGTCCTGCCAACTAGGGAGAGAGACTACACTTGCCCTCCTCCAATACTCTCTCTCTCTCTACTTACATCTCTTATTTTTTTCTGTTTTACTCCCACTTAACCATCCCCATCCTTTCTTCTCCAATAGCTTCCTCCTTCCTACCTTCCCTCCTATTCTCTCTTATTCCCCCCAGCATTTCCCTCGTTCTGTCCCTCGCCCTCCCTCCTACCCTCTCTTCCTATCTCCAATAGTTTCCTCCTTCATATTCTCACTCTCCTTTCCTCCTTTAGCTTCCTATTTGCATCCCTCCTACCTAAAAACCCAATCTGCTTCCATCATTTGGCTCCCTCCTACCCTCTCACCTTCCCTCCCCCGTCCACTCCTACCTTCCCTTCCCCACCCCCTCCTACCTTCCCTCCCCCGCCCCCTCCTACCTTCCCTTCCCCGTCCCTCCTACCCTCTATACCTCCATTAGCTCCCTCTTCACCACGTCAGCTGGGGGCTACCTCCATTCCCGGTGAAAATTTACAGGCAAAACGTACGTAAACAGAGCAATCGGTCCCCCTGAAAATACGCCCAAGGGTGACGGGGGATGATTTAGAGGTGGAGAACTGCTTCCCTTCACAGCCGTCTAAGTTCTCCAAACAGTCACGAACACTGATTGACGTTCTTGTAAATTATGGTGTGTTTGTTTGTGTAATAGTTGAAGTAAATTCTTGGCTTTGGAGATAGGGGAAATTATGGTTTAAGATGGATATTGTAAAATAGAATTTTAGTCTAAATTTGTGTGTGTTATATTTTTGTGAGTGACGTTAATGGAATGTTTATATACACTTGAGTTAAATGACGATGCCTACTCCCACCTCCCACCACATTACACACTCCACGTCCACAATACAATATTCAGGCATTCCACTCTCGGACACTGTTCTGAAAATTACCCAAATGTAACTAAACAGTAGCAATTCTCGACAAGTGTTCATGAATTTACTACAAACTGTGTCGGTCACCTAAACCACCATGACCTGTAGTGTACCTGTAGTTCCTCACACCTTCCCTCTA